AGGACAGCAGTAGTTGTAAGAATCACAGACTGGTCGGGGTTGGAAGGGACCTCTGTGGGTCACCCAGTCCAACCCTCCTGCCAAAGCAGGGTCACCCAGAGCAGGCTGCACAGGACCTTGTCCAGGCAGGTACGAAGAATGGTGAACAAGAACAGAAAAAAACAGCCCTTTTTATACATTCACTGCATCTACGCATAGCCAGGCTTCATAGGACTGATATGGGACTGAACATCATTTGCCCTGCTTAAGGCTAAGGTCATTGTTTAGGAGCTGCAGGAAACAGCATGTTCATTAGAAAGTCCATGTGCCCTACAGCCAAGTAACTCCAAGCAAAATGATCGGACCTCAAACTTCTCATTGTTCAAAAAGCTCGGGTGGTATCTGACCACTGGAGTTTGATTTTTGAGAAACCAGAACCGATTACAGATCTGCGGAGAGGGACCTGGGTGTCCTGGTGGATGACAGGTTGACCATGAGCCAGCAGCGTGCCCTGGCTGCCAAGAAAGCTAACGGGATCCTGGGATGCATTAGGAGGAGTGTGGCCAGCAGGTGTCAGGAGGATGGGGCCAAGCTCTTTTCAGTGGTGCCCAGTGACAGGACAAGGGGCAATGGGCACAAACTGAAGCAGAGGAAGCTCCAGCTGAACCTGAGGAAGAACTTCTTCCCTCTGAGGGTGACGGAGCCCTGGCCCAGGCTGCCCAGGGAGGCTGTGGAGACTCCTTCTCTGGAGATATTCCAGCCCCGCCTGGACGCGGTGCTGTGCAGCCTGCTCTGGGTGACCCTGCTTGGGCAGGGGGTTGGGCTGGGTGACCCACAGAGGTCCATTCAAACGCCTACCATTCTGTGATTCTGTGATCTTCCAACCTTTGCCAGTAAAATAAATTCCTTCACAAATTCATAAAGCAAAATCAGAAATGATATAATCTTGAGCTATCCCAGTCTCTGCTACAAGCTGATTAGCCAGACATTCATCAAACGTGCAGGTGACACCGTATCACATTTGTAGCGAAAACAGACTATGCATGGCCAGAAGTGTAAAACCATGCCCCAAGAACGGCTGGATGAATCTCAGGCACCCTTCTCTCAGCCTAAAGGAACTAACAGCAGATCCCCCATCCTGCAAGACAAGGATGACTTGAAAAGGAGCATGGTAGAAACCAGCAACACCAACATGGACCTGCTATTAGCAACCTCTCGTGTAAAGATGAAGCCTGCTCTCTCCTTGTTTACTCCAAATCCCAGCTGAGCTCCCGTCTAGCCAAACCATCTAGTTCTGTTAGCAAGAGACTCCCGATCCCTGCAGCGCCTGGTGAAGCGAGGTGAGCAAGGAGAGACAAGCAAGCAAGCAGACAAGCATCTGAGATTACAGCCTAGGACAACTCGGTTCAGCTCTCACAGCAAGCCCAGCCTGGCAGCACAGGTGATGCCGAAGATTGTGTGTCCTCTGAACTACCATTAATACAGATTTGGTTGTCTCAAGAACCACATGTGCAGAAGAGAAAAACGCAAACTGCCAGAGACACCTGGCTTCCATTTTGTATCCTAGAATATTTCTCCTGTCTTTGGAATTTCTCTGTACACAGTGCAAGATGATGTGCCTTGTCTTTGTGCTAAGGAGCATATCTCTTGCTGTGCAAATACAAACTCTCAGCGCGCACAAGGTAGGTATGTGAACACTTTGGGAGCAGCAGACATCTACTGAACAGATCCAAGCTTCCACCAGCAAGTCCTCAGGGGCTCCCAGCTTCGTCAAGGTGACCAGCACCAGTACCTTCCAAGAGATGCCCAACCATTACGCTGACCATGCTGGAGTCTGGTCATTTTCTTATGGTCCGTAAGAGGAACCCGCAGAGTTTCAGTCACACGCCAGAAGTGAAAGAACACCCTGTGCAGAGCTTGGAGGAGAAAAAAAGAAGAGAAACAGGGAAAAAAAAAAAAGCGAAAACTCCACAGAGCCCTTCCATAAAGGAAGGGCAACGAGCCTACCTGGTACTTTTGGTACCAGACTTTGTAGCACGGTCAGAGAATGCTGACACTGGAACAGGATTGCTAACGGATGTTTCCTCCATCATCAGAGCCAGAAAGGTGCATGCAGAGCTTTTTCCCAGAGTGTCTGCTATGCCTGTCACTACCGGCCAACAGCAGACTCCGGGCCTCTGCAGTTAGAATCACCCTGCCTTTTCTGAACCTGACACGCTGCCCATCAGCAACAGCAAGGAAAAAAAAAAACCAATCACCTATGGGCAAAGGGCATGTATCTGTGTCCCAGATGAGACATGCGTGCAGGCACAATGACTCAGATAAATCGTCACCTGAGAAAGAATGGGTTTTATTAGTTTAGCATGACGCTGTCATTGTCAGGACAGTGACAGCAGACTTCAAAAAAATGTTTCTTTATATTATAACCATTATTCCCTTAAGAAGCATTTAGCTTTATTATCTAACAGACATTTTACCAAACTAGAGAGAGGCAAGAATGTGGCACCGGGCAGGGAAAAAGCGACATGAGATTAACCTGCCTCAATTTTACAAAAGTGTTATCAACTATTTAACCACATTTAAACGAAGATATTTTCTCAGAAATGCTTGCTCCTCCACC